CAGGGCCGTAGCGAGGCCGGTTCAAGCGGTGCGGCGCACCGGGGCCCCCGCAGTCGAGGGGCCCCTTAGCAGTTTTCTGTTTTCAAAAAATGACTTCTAAAAAAAACTATGCTGTTAGAGATGAGCTGAGTCAAACTACGAAATGAACATCATAATTTTTTATTTTACTTTTTTCTATATCAATTTTTGTCACAATACTCCATATATTTGATCAGGTACGTAGTTACATGGAATGCATACATCTCGAAATCGCGAATACTTCTACATTCATGGTTTCCTTAAATCCGTTGATATAATTATCATTGCTACCATAAAAAATTACTAATTGCTGACCATAAATCTATATCACCCGAAACATCACTATAGAATTCATTGCACAAACATCAAGTGCCTGCTCTTATTTCTAAAACGTTTTTTTTTCTCGCTTTGATAGCAGCAAAATCAATCACCGCGACGTTGGCATCACCGTGAGAGGTTATCTGTCAGTGCTGCACGGGGAATCATCTATTCGTGAAATTAAAACATTTTTTTTAATGACATTTTTCTGATCATCAATTTTAAGAAGGGCCCCTTGCGGAATACCGCACCTGGGCCCCGAGCTCATCGCTACGGCCCTGGTTATAATAGGACTTTATTGGATAAAACATGACATACGAGGGTGCGTTTTCAAGCTCCCGGAATGGGTAGGTAGGTCATTAGTGAGGGTATTTACTCGAGTCATTGCGAGTTAAGCAACTCATTATTAGTATAAATACCAAGTTTTATCGTAATTAGGTCAGTCGTTTTTGAACTATCGTTGACGAAACAAGTCTATCAGGAACAAATTGTGAAATATGGGAAAAATCGAATGTCGCGCTGTTATAAAGTTCCTTACCAAGCAAAGAAAATCGGTTCAAACCATACTGGTTTACAAGTGGAATACCTTCTTTAAGCAAGGCAGAGACTCACTTAAAGACGACCCATGGTCAGGCCGGCCGATCGAGGTGACCACTCCGGAAGTTATTCAAAAATTTGAAAATTAATTCTGGAAGATGCCTGACTCAAGAAGAAAGAGCTCGCAGAAATGGTAGGAGTATCAGATACAACCATTTTTAAAATTCTTCAAAAACAACAGCGTGTGGAGTGTTCTCGTGCGTTTTTGGACCTCTGTAGTGAAGAGAAAGATGGAGTATTGACTCGAATTGTTACTGGGAACGAAACTTGGATTCATCATTATGAACTTGAGTCCAAACAGGACTCTATGCAGTGGCACAAAAGAAGTTGAAGGTGTCACAGTCGGCTGGGAAAATCATGGCGATAGTCTTTTGGGACCCAAAAGGGATCCTGATCCTGTTGATCGATTATAAAGATAAAGGTGTCTCTGTCTCCATGACCGGAGAATACTATGCGTCAATCCTAGAATGGTTAAAGGAAGCAGTCAAAGAAAAAAGACTATTTACAAGAGCCGTGTTGCAATGGCTGTCTTGTAGAAAGTGAGCTTTGAAATTTGAGCTCACCTACCCTACAGTCCTGACCTAACTCCCAGCGATTATTAGCTATTTCCAAACTTAAGAAAAAGTCTTCGTGGGATGCAGTTTCGGTGTATTTTTCAGACAAAAACAAAACATGTTTTTTCGAAGGTATACGTATGTTAATTGAAGGATGAGAAAATGTATAAGTGTAGCAGGTGAATAAATTCGTACTTTTATTTCCATTTCTTATCCCACATTCTGCGAACTTAAAAACGCCCTTTCGTAAAGCAGATTTTAACTAAATTTCCTTGTTCTTTAGAACGGGTTTTCAAATTCATTGTATCTTTGTTTAGAATGACCCACAAGGTTGATTAAGATTGTAATTCAGTAATTATCTCATCTAAGTACTTAGCTGATTAATAATGAAAAGAGTATTTAGACTTTGTTTTCGGACAAATGCGGTGATTTTTTGGACGATTAGGGACTTTAAAATTTAATATAATAAAAATAAAAGTCATTTATGGATCTCAAAGTGCAGCATTTATAGTAAGTAAATAATAATTAAATTATGTAAAATACCTGGTTTTTTCGGTTTAATTTGTGGAGCATTTTCAACGGGTTGGAAAATCTTGTCAAAATTGACTGGTTTTCTTTCAGCTTCATCCTGAAAAAGAAGATAATTTAGATGAGAAATTGACGTAGCACTTCATATATATTTATAATTAAAAGGCAGGTTTCGTTTATACGTAAGCCAAGGCTTGTGTAAAATCTAGGAATATATTGAGATAACGACAATTGCAAAATTTTATATTAAAGAAGATATTTTTCCTATCATCATAAGGTCATCAATTCTAAGACTGGTTGAGCACGCACCTTCACTCTTTCCTACCCTGAGTTAATATTCGCCTTTCCCTAAAACTACAACATGCCAGATCCTTAATTATTTGCGAACAGTAATCTAATCTAGGTCTACCTCTACCCCTCTTAACTCCTGTTTCTGTCTTTAGTAGTTCAACTAACTGTTTAGGGTTTGGAATTCATTTTTTTCTCTTTATTACCTACATAAATGCTATTTTTGTTAGATCCTTTAATGATACAGTTTCATGATAAATGGCATAAATGCTTCAATACCTATCTAGAAATTCAAAGTAAGTTTTATCAAATTTGAGAACTGAAATTGACTTTGACAATTTTATTGTAGTTTTCTTAAAAATATTTAATAAAATCTGCCTTTACTTGTGCTTGTCTTTCAAACATTTTTTTACGTAAAATTCTCTAAAATTCTATTGTGTCATTTGGCAATTTTATCGAAAGGTGATATTTCTGAGGAGGCTGTAATACATGTAGGTATATATTTTTCCAAAAATAACCACTCGTTCAACTGCAAATAGCATCATCATCGTCTGTGTAACTTTTAACGCGACATGTGTTCGAGAATATTATACGTTTGTTTGACATGAGCAGTTTACGGCTTAAATCAAAATTGACGGCGCAGTTTATTTGAGTTATCGTTAAATTTGTGGTCGAAAAACCTACTGAGCTACTGAACGCAAAATATTAGGGCCAATTGATGTTTTCCAAGACATAAATTTATTTTTTCGCTATTTAAAAAATCTCTTAAAACGTAAATTCTACTAGTGACAATGAAAAAGAAACATCAACGCATAAATATATGAAATTATTTGTTTATGTTTCTCATAGTTGTACTTAATAAGTACAAAATATTTTGTAAATATTTGCAGATTTTCTATTTGCTACTCGATATTCCAATGGGAACAATATTTTTACTAAAAATTTTTACACTAATTTTTTTCCGAAATCCTTAGGTGGAATGTACATTAAACGGCATACAAAGTTAGTTGTGACTTACGTTTAGTCTTAGTGACCACACAGTTTCCTGTCGTAGCTCAGATCGTATTTTTTATATTACTAATCAATTCAAATTCTTTTTATCTTATTTTTTTTTTATTGATTTCTACAGACTTTGTCGATAGTATAGCCTGTAATCGTGGCAGAAGTCACACAAATTATAGAATTAAATAAAAAAACACTTTCTTAAACCCTTATTAGGGGTAGTTTTCGGTAGAAGTGGTATTTACTATATTACATTAAATTAAATCCACTTGATAATAATTAATTATTATTCAGCTTCTGCAATATATTCTAACGGTAATATCGAAAAGAAATAATTGTAATTTGATTATAAATCGTCATAGCTTTGTTATACTTAAAGCTTACTTTTCTGCCAAATCGACTGGACCGTATTTAACCACTTTGATGCAATAAAAAGTGCAGGCTGCAAGATATGACTTAAAATATCTGCTTTATAGGTAACATTACTTTTTTCGGAATACATTAAAGGTTTTAAAACCAACATATGTTACTGGTTACTCATACAGATAAATAATAAATACACGCTCTAAGGATTGTTGATTTTATTTCAAAATGTTTAGTTCATCGTCCGTTTTCAAAGTCGCAANGGCGCAGTTTATTTGAGTTATCGTTAAATTTGTGGTCGAAAAACCTACTGAGCTACTGAACGCAAAATATTAGGGCCAATTGATGTTTTCCAAGACATAAATTTATTTTTTCGCTATTTAAAAAATCTCTTAAAACGTAAATTCTACTAGTGACAATGAAAAAGAAACATCAACGCATAAATATATGAAATTATTTGTTTATGTTTCTCATAGTTGTACTTAATAAGTACAAAATATTTTGTAAATATTTGCAGATTTTCTATTTGCTACTCGATATTCCAATGGGAACAATATTTTTACTAAAAATTTTTACACTAATTTTTTTCCGAAATCCTTAGGTGGAATGTACATTAAACGGCATACAAAGTTAGTTGTGACTTACGTTTAGTCTTAGTGACCACACAGTTTCCTGTCGTAGCTCAGATCGTATTTTTTATATTACTAATCAATTCAAATTCTTTTTATCTTATTTTTTTTTTATTGATTTCTACAGACTTTGTCGATAGTATAGCCTGTAATCGTGGCAGAAGTCACACAAATTATAGAATTAAATAAAAAAACACTTTCTTAAACCCTTATTAGGGGTAGTTTTCGGTAGAAGTGGTATTTACTATATTACATTAAATTAAATCCACTTGATAATAATTAATTATTATTCAGCTTCTGCAATATATTCTAACGGTAATATCGAAAAGAAATAATTGTAATTTGATTATAAATCGTCATAGCTTTGTTATACTTAAAGCTTACTTTTCTGCCAAATCGACTGGACCGTATTTAACCACTTTGATGCAATAAAAAGTGCAGGCTGCAAGATATGACTTAAAATATCTGCTTTATAGGTAACATTACTTTTTTCGGAATACATTAAAGGTTTTAAAACCAACATATGTTACTGGTTACTCATACAGATAAATAATAAATACACGCTCTAAGGATTGTTGATTTTATTTCAAAATGTTTAGTTCATCGTCCGTTTTCAAAGTCGCAAACCAAAAAAGTATTTTATAGATCGGCTATCGATTGATTACAAGTATTTGGTTGGTAGTTAGATAGGGATACTGAGTTGTTTTAAAATATTTAAGAAATATAGAGAAATATCAAAAATATATTCTACAATAAAATATTGTCCTAAATTTGCATCATTATAAAACAAATTATATAGAGATGTGATTAATTTGAAATACTTTAGTCGAGAAGATAAAGCACAAAAATAGACGAAACCTTCGAATTTTTGTGCAGTAAGAAAAATGCAGACATAAGTACATTATAAAGTTGTTATAAATGAACTCGGTTAGTAATGATAAATTAATTTTAAATGAATTTAGAACATAACTCCTGAAGACGAGTGTATGACGGTGGCCCTGGGCCCCTGGTACTTCGGAGACTGTCGTCGAATTTAGAGACCCCCAAAATCCCCGAATAAATACAGAAAGCTGCACTTCGACCAGACTTACTATACTAATTTCGAAGCTTTATCCTCGACTATTTGCATTTATAAATGAGAATACAAAAAATAAAATACTTATTTCTAATTTGGATGTAAACAAATACTTAATTGAGAAAAGCATTTTATATTTTAATTCAGAAGCTTACAAAAGGAGACAAAAAACATTTTATTATGGATGCTTTCTAACACTTGAATTGAAGAGAACGCAAATAATTTTAAACGCCTTAGAAATGGGTAATGTTAAATATTGTAGAATCGATATTGTATTCCGGGTTGTTTCACCACAATCTATGGATTTTGGCGGTTCTAAACGATTGATAAATAATTGATATCAGTCACAACACAGTACATGCCAAATCATCACTGAAAACGTTTGGAATTGCAAAATGCAATGGACCATGGCAAAACAGTCCGGCCAACAATATCGTATTAATATAAACCTGAAAACTACCTACTGTAGATATGATTAAAAAGTCTTAAAAAACCATTTCAGAAACTTTACTTGTCATATGTAACGTAATCTGAATTCAATCGAACGTTTCTAACTGATTAAATTAAAGTATTTTGTATGCAATAAAACTTTTACATAAAATATTTTAATTAACTTATTATGCACGAAATTATCTAGGAATTTCAAGATACGATTTAGTTTATTTTATAAATCTTTAATTAGCGGCTGATTTTTCTATTGAAAGCCAGGTAGGACCATTTAACCGCATTTTATATTAACAAATGAAACAAAAGGAATGAAAACTACAGTTTTACTTTGCATAATGCAACAACAGACATAGTATAAGTAATTAGTATTTACTAATGTTGATCTTAGTTCATAAAAATTTGAAATTTGTAAATGGAATTTTATTTGTTTCTGAGACTTATTGGATCATTCTGCAATTCTTTAAGTATTTTTGACTGAATTAGTTATGACCTAATAATGTTGACGACACCGTAAAATTTTTCGTGTTTTCAGAATCCCAGTTTTAAAAATGAACACATTTCGTAACATACAGCAAATCTGACATGTTTTTCGGTCCGCTCATTTTTTCGTCGATATCCATTTTCCTTTAAGATTGTCTTTTCCTCAAAGCACTCCTCTGTTCTTCTGCGAATCGTAACGATTTCACCACCGAGAAACATCGCATTAGATTACAAATAAGTAAAATAAAAACCAATTCAATATTGTCAATAAAGTAGATAGTCATGTAAAAAAGTAAAACACTTGTCTGTTGTTGATGAAATTTGTTTTAACGAGAGTTCTGGCACGATTTCAAAGGTAACAAGTGTTCTGGACTTTACACAAAATTCGGTCTATCGTTCTCTTGTCAATCCGATCACGTATGTTCGCGAAACCAATAACAAATAGCAAAACTTCTTGTTAACAAAACCAACGTGATGACCGAATGGAATGTATTGGGAATAGGTCTGTCGAAAAACTAAATGGACACAGCAAATTATTGTTTTATCCCGCTAAATGTCCAACAGGAAGACGCTTTGCCGACGTGGGCCGCAAAGACGCAGTCGCCAACGCGGGCCAACCATCACGCAGTTTATTATCGCGCTGTATTTTTAGAAAATTTATCCAATGAAGGATTTCGTTATTCCGTAAGTTTAGAAAAATCGTGCGGATCCATGGAATATGGCCGATAAAGTTCTTTTACAAAGACTCGCTAGGAACATTAACGTATAAAGACGTTAAATCAAAATCCTTACAAATAGTCCAGGAAATGGAGCTTA